CCAGGGGGGGGGGGGGGCCAAAGGAGCTAAATGAAGCAGTCTGAGAGTGCAGGATCACAGGGGATCTGGCATACAGCACAGGTCTCCTGGGCGCAAGGCTAACACCTGGGTTAGCCGTTGGACCACACTCATTTCCTTCAGGGCTTTCCAAAGTCCATCTTTTCAGACACTTTAACGGGCTTTTTATGACTTACTGTTTAATTTAGTTCTGGGAGGAAAAAAAAGCCTTGAATTCCAAATCCCCCCCGAACCTTGTAACTGGTGCTCTTATCTAGGGTTTTTCAAGCCTTCGTGTTCAAGAAATGACTGATTTTTGAAGTGCTTTATATGTCCATAAAACAGGGGCCTGTCTGGAATTCCTTCTATTAAATGCACAGAACCAGATTGGTTTGTGAAGCTAATACATTGCTATTGAATTAACTTATTGGCTTCTATGACAACATCCAAAATAATCTTTGACAAAACATTTCCAGCAGCTCGAGTAGGCATTATGTGATGTTGAAACACAAAGAGAAGTTTGTGAAGCACATTGAGATGAAACACGCTGCACTCATGAATGATGTTGCATTGTGTATTCACAACCTAGCAGGAAGTGTCATCTTTTAACGGTATACGTGAATCTACAAAGTCCTAAAAATGCCTTTTATGTTCAGAGAATAGAAAAGCCCCCTTCAGATTGGTTTGGCTCCTGCTCCACATTCAGAGCATACGATCTTCTGTTTCAGCACGATGAGAGTAAAGAGTGTGCGCGTTTCAACATTGACACCACATACGGGAACTACCTGATGTTTGGCCACGCCACGGATGGATGGCAACACAACAACGACAGGTTCTCCACGTGCAGCATCGAGTACATCGGGAAGCTCCTGAGAGCCAAAAAGGACACCTGCTTTGTTGGTAAGAGGCAGTAATATGTATGAATTCTTTAAATTCTGCTGTCATTTGTCTGTGCTAATTGCAATTAGCTCAGTGATTCTTTGCTTTGGTTTGTTTTGGGTGATCTCTTTTATTGACCCGACTCTATAGCTGGGAGGGATAGAGACAAACTTTCAGGTAGCAAGTCCCCTTCCTTGGGTCTCTGTAGGTGTCATTTCAGATGTAAATTATAGCAAAGGGATTTTTTTGTTTGTTTCCCCAAAACACTGTGGGCAGCTCTCAGCTTTAGCAAGACATCAGCAAAAAGTTGAAATTATTTAGCCTGGAGAAATACTTAGATAACATAGTGATGGGTGCCATAAATGTAGGTGTGGACAGGGGACTTGACTATTTAAATGTTGATGGGTCCAAGTGCAGATTGTTCATTTTGGGCTGTACCATGAAACTGGCAGCTGGTGAATTAAGGACTAACACAAGACAAAGCACCATTGGATATTTGTAGAGAGTAGTAGGATCAATTTGCTGTTCCCAGATTAGAGGTTCAGAAAGGGTTCAGTTTTATGACTGGTGATACCCCATGCTAAAGCAAAGGCCAAGCAAAATTCAGTCCTCGGGGAACAAGCTGGCACACGGATCTCTTCACCCCCTCCCCTTAATGCACCGCGTTGTGTAAATGGCTTGACGTTCACAACAGCTTGTGATCACCCAGCATCAGGTGTTTGTCCAGCCAGTCTTGCTAGGCCCATAGCCAGGGCTGCCCCCAACCTGTCATCAGCCCCTGGTCTCAACGTTGCATTCATTTTTCTTCCCCTTCCATTCAGAAACTGACCGTCCCATCTGCGGCAACCGGATAGTGGACCCAGGGGAGGAGTGCGACGTGGGGAATGACATCTCCAACCATTGTTGTTATGCGGCTAGAGAGCCGAACGGCATCGGCTGTAGGTTGAAGCCAGGGGCGCAGTGCAGGTAGGTGTCCCTAATGCCTTATTAGCTGTTCTTTCTCTTCCTATCAGACTTTGTGGGTGACCCTCATCCTATTTGCTGCAAAATGTCTCCTAGGATCCTGCCGGAGACACCCAAGGGCACTTAAAAGCTCTTTTGAGGGTGGCTGAGGCAGGGAGCTGTTTGTTACTTGTGACAAGCATCCCAGGGGCTTGCCCACAACAAACCTAGTGGCACTTGCAAGCAAGAAGCAAGGATACAACCGTAGGACCTGAGCCTCATGCTCTAGGGCCTGTAGATATGCTCAGGGCCCATTTGCAGCGACAGCTGCTTATCAGCTCTACCCTGCATATCTGCAAGGTGCCACCCTACACTCACACAGTGCTCCGTGTAACAGCAACAGCTCCTTAGGGACAACAAAGCCAGGGCACTATACCTATTGCTAGGTATTTCGATTTAACCTGATGCATAAGTGACTGAGCCACCCCTGCTAGGAGGGGCAGCTTCTTTCAAAGCCCTTCAGTACCAACAAGGTCTCCAGCATTTGTTTTAAACTGATGCCCCTATGTGTCCCCCGTCATGGTTATTACTCCATATTGATAACGCATGTACACGATGCTCATACCCAGGAGGTAAGTCATTGCCTCAGTTCTGCTGTTACTACCGAGTTGGCAGCTTGCTGCCCTGCTGCGGGCTGGCTACTTCCCCATGCTTATCTGAACCATTGCTCCATCTCCCAGCTCGAGCCAGGGCCTGTGCTGCAGCCAGGACTGTGTCTTTAAATCCCAAGGGGAGCTCTGCCAAGAGGAGACGGAGTGCGCCTTCGCAAGCATCTGTTCTGGGCTAGCAGCTCAGTGCCCCACACCCGTCCCCAGGGACAACGGCACGTTCTGCAGCAGGGGCACACGGATCTGCCTTGCTGGGGTTAGTCCTGACTGTTAACCTTGTCTGATTGGGGGTTGTGACAGCCAGTGACTTTAAGGACTAAAACAGGCTGAATAGGATGGGCCATAGCACTGCTTACTGCATGGGTGAGGGCCTCAAAGGCTTCCCTAGACCAGGTTCAAGCTAAGTAGCCCCATGCTAGGTGCAGATAACCTGAGGAACTCACTGCCACAGGGTGTTTGTGAGGCAAAGAGCTCAGCAGAATTCACATGGGGATAGGGCATTTATACCACAGGAAAGGATTGAAACCCTCTAGTTTTGATGCATTAAAGCAGCCCCTCACTACCAACTTCTCCCTACAAGCAGGTTACTCCAGGGGTCCTGGCCTGGCCTCTGGGAGATAAGAGTACTAGACTAGGGACCTGCTGCAGACTGGCAAGGCCTGTGCGGCCTCCCCTCTAGCCATGGGGCATGATGCAGCTTGCGCTGCAGGTGACACAAGGAATTCGGTCTGCCTGGTACCTTCCACTGAGAACTGAGGCTTGGGAAGGCACTTTGTCTTGTTAAACGGAGCCAGCACTTGGGAGAGTCTCGGTCCCTTAGTGAATCCACCTGCTCCCTGCCTGGGATGGATCACTGGCCTGGAGCAGGCATATCCCATAAATCCCACTCCTATTTCTCACTCAATTCCCTAGCTCTGCCTCGCCTCGCTCTGCGTTAAGTATGGACTGGAGCAATGTGACTGCGTCAGCAGCTCTATGAGGGAGAAATGCCATCTCTGCTGCCAGCAACCAGGTATGCTGACTTGGGATCAGGGGAAGCAGCACCCCCCCGGGGCAGAGAGAAGCATGAGGGCTGGGAGTGTTGCTACTGGCCCTACATCAAGGACATGGAAGAGGCTATTGGTTGTAGGCTGCAGTGCCTCCTATGCAGGGACTACACAATACCCTGACACAGTTACTTCTATGGCATGGACAGGCTGGTAGCATGACCCCATTGCACATGGGGTTAAAACCCAACCCTGCAGCTCCATTTTATAATAGGACTAAGGCTCCCCAGGGTGCTAAGGGATGCAGTTATGCACCTTGAGAGCAGCTGTGCATTAAGTGACATGAAAATCAGAGCCAGGGCAGCCCAGTGCTGAGTGCATTACCTGCTGCATGTCCAGGCCTTGATCATTCAAGCCCTTTTAAACCATCTGTTGTAGGCCAGGCCAGGACGTGTGCCAGCACGGCCTCATTCCTGC